CTTTCTGCTGTACATGTCGCACTGCCGTATAAGTCGCATCAGTCCAAATATGTCTAATAAAATCGAAAAAAACATAAATGTAATCATTGGAAAACCTGTTTATTTCCTCGTAAATAGTGCCACAGATCACATAGTGCAGGGGTGTCAAACTCGCTTACAAAAGGGGCCAAAATTAAAACCTTTTTCAAACTAAGGGCCAATTTCAGAAACTACATTAGCTCAAGTCAGATACCCAACCTCTTTTCTTGGTCACAGTTTCCTCAACAAGTGTTTGATTGGTCTCATTTGATGTTCTCTGTTGTGCTTTCGACATCATAATCAAAGATTACTGGGGAAAATAATCAAGAGATAAAAGTATTTTTCATTTCAAATATCATCTTGAGGGCCAGATAAGATGTCAACGAGGGCCACATTTGGCCCCCGGGCCTTGAGTTTCACACACATGACGTAGTGGAATGCAGAAGAACCATACGCAGCCCGGTGGTGCTTACCGTACTTGCCGCCGTACATGTCGCACCGCCGTATAAGTCCCATCAGTCCAAACAAGTCTAATAAAGTGGGAAAAAACATAAATACGTTTCTTCGCCATATAAGTTTCTATTATGCGTCACCGCTGACAACCTGCAAATGTGGGCCGGTGTTGTGGCAAAAAATCAATTGGCTGTCAAATGGCGGCTGTGGGAGCGTGCACAGGAGGACTTTAGCAACAATTTAACAAGATTAACATTTAAAAACAATTATTTGTTTGCTCTAAATTATATCAAAGGTGTGTCTCAGTCTAATTTTTACTTAATAAATGCACTTTAATGGTCAAATTAGCTGCATTTCGCCGGGACAGTGCAGCTGTTTTGACTGTTCCAAGCAGCGAGCAGAATGAAGGTGGGGAGATTATGGCAAGCCGATTGCGTCATTAATAGTTGGTAAGATTATCAGTCATCCAGGACATGGTAAATTCAAAAAAGTTCAAGAAAAAAACAATAAAATATAAAATAAAGTATAATAAAGTCCATTTGTTTTTGTCTTGAACTTTTATGAATTTGTCATTATAGCCACGTTTACCTATTACATGAGACAACAGCATGCCATATCGCTATTACTACTCTGCTGCCATCAAGTGGCTGTAAGTGGTACTGCTCTTTTTTTTTTCTCAGTCAGAATGAATGATAACGGTCATATCTCAGCCAAAAATTGGTTTATAAATACAGGGGAAAAAAAAGCATAAATATGTTGCTTCGACCTGTAAGTCGCAGGGAATGTAAATTATGCAAAAAAAACTGTGACTTAGGCTGAAAAATACGGTAATTTGTTACGCATCACCACTGACAACCTGGAAATGTGTGCCAGTGTTGTGCCAAAATCAATTGGCTGCCAAATGGCGGCCGCGGGAGCGTGCACGGAAGGACTTTAACCAGAATAACGCTTAAAAACAATTATTTGTTTGCTCGACGTTATAGTAAAAGTGTGTCTCTGTTGAACTTTTCCTTAATAAATGCACTTTAATGGTCAAATCAGCTTCATTTCGCCGGGGCGGCGCAGCGCAATGAAGCTAATTTGACGTTTGCTCCAGGCAGACGATGATGGCATGCTATGGCAAGCCGATTGTGTCATTAATAGCCACTTTTTACCCATTACATGACACAACGGCATGCCATACTGCTCAACTGCTGAAAATGGTAGTGTTTAATATTTTCAGTCAGAATGAATGAAAACGGTCATATCTCAGTCAAAAATTGGTTTATAAATATGGGGAAAAAACCAAATATGTCGCTTCCGCGTATAAGTCACAGGGCATACAAATTATGCAAATAACCATGACTTATAGGCCAAAAAATACACTTTAAGATCCACTCCTGTACTGCTTGGAAGAGGAGCGCAATGCAAGGACGTGTCACGTACGTACGAGGTGAAGAAGAAGAAAGCTCGTCTCGCCGTCTGAGTGACGATTTGACAACTCGTGGCGTCATATGACTGATGAGTGAACACTGCCGTCCAGCTGTTAGTTTCCAGCCTTTTTTTTTACATTCAAACTAAACCTAAGTGGAGTTAATATGAAATGCACGTTTTTAACTTTATGCAAGCATCATGACTAGGCAGCAACGGCAGCTTTTATTTTGTTAAAGCATATTGCAGCTCTGAGGGAACATTTTTGACAATTCCACCGTTTACCCGTAAACTCACAAAGGTCAAGTCATGCCGCTGCTGTCTGACACACACGTGCATGTGTGGAAATAGTGGTTTTCTGATGAGTCAGACGTTAGACCTGACCTGTGATTTTTACTTCCTTTTCTTTGCTGCCTAATACAGAAAATGACCATTGTTATTGTGTTCTTGGACAAAAATCACAATAATTCTTTGTGTGTTGAGAGAAAGCAGGTTCTGGAGATGAGTTCAAACATCGCTCATAAAGTATATAACTCTGCGTTGCTTTATTGACAGGTTGCTTCATCTCTAGGTTACAGATTACCCTGTTCTGGCCTAGTTTCAGGACGCCGGCTGATTGTGTGAATGGGTGTTTAAACTGAATGTTGACACGGTTAAGTGCCTTTTTGTGACACCTTTTAGTTACTATGAGAATTGAATGATTTATGTGTATTAATTTGAGCTCTTAAAAGTTTTAAATAAGCAACATACGCGTTTGTTCTTGGCCATATTTTTGCTTGAATAAACACTTTGATAAACATCTTTCAAAATCGAGGTATTCCTGAACTGGAGTGAACTTGATCAGTGAAGGCCACCGTTCCAGAGTTTGTCGAAGTAAACTGGACTTGTGTACTGTTTTTTTATGTATTTTGGTCATTACTGATAACACAAACTGTACCTCTTGTATCTACATTTTAAAGAACAAGATATCACTTTATGCAGATGATATCTTGGTTTACCTGTAATCTGGTATTGAATGTTTTTGTTTCTTTTAGAAACAAAAACATTTTTACACATTTAATTGTGGTTCTCGTTATTTGTTCCTAAACTGAATCAGATAAAAATGGTTAAAGACAAAGTTAAGGTTTGGTTGGTTCTGTTGATGGGGCAGGGCGCTCCGCTTGTATGATGGTCGGGGAAAAGATGCACACATCAAGGACATGAACGCCGTATTAAAATTGGGCTTCCATTGATCTAATTAACCCATTTTGTTTGCCAGGATGGAGTTCTATAGCATTCCACTGCAATGATTTTTAAAAACATGTATTAAGTGCACAAGTTTTAATTAATTGATGATTTTCTCTAATCCTCACAGGTTCAGAATATACCTACTGACTTAAATATATCTATACACCCAGTAATGTTGTAGTTTTTTAATATTTTCAGTTACCGTACTCCCTTCTTCAGGGGTTGCCCCAGTGAGCGTACTCGCATGAAAGATTTGGCAATCGTTTTACGCCGGTTGCCCTTCCTGACGCAGCCTGGACTCGAACCAGCAGCCTCAGATTTAGGAGACTGCGACACTGACCCACTAATATTTGGTTAAATTGACTGGTTTCACAGCTTTTTGGCTTTTGCGCAGTCCACAACTTTTCAATGGGGTTGAGGTCGATGCTTTGGGAATGCTATTCCAGGAACATCAAAGTTCATGCTCAGTAATCCAGGAAAAAAATCCTACAAAGTTCAGTCAGGTCATCTGGACAGTTTCTTCTCTCTTTTTTGGTTGAGCCGTTTCGTCCTTCATCCAAAGGACTTCATCAGTCCGAAGAGCCACAACAAACTCCATCCCAAAAGCAGCACACTCGCATAGATGACCAACCAGTTTGCTGGTGATAAAATGGTTTCTGGGGCCCGCCCTCTCCCCCATCAACTCCTCTGAGGCAGTCATAGCAAAAGTGGTTCAAAACATTAACACCACCTCGGCTATAGCTGCCTCAGAGGAGTCCATGGGGGAGAGGGTGGACCCCAGAAACCATTTTATCACCAGCAAACTGGTTGGTCCACTATGCAAGTGTGGGACTGAGTTTGGGTCTCTTCGGACTGATGAAGTCCTTTGGATGAAGGACGAAACGTCTCAACAACAACAAAAAGAAACCGTCTAGATGACCTGACTGAACTTTGTTGGCTGTTCCAGGAGCTTTACGTCAGCCTGCTTTATCCAGTCAAAGACCGGTTTCTATAGGTCTTTGGGATCCTTGTCCTGTTGGAGCCCAACAGCTGTTGAAGCTGTTGATCTAAGCTGGAGTTGAAGTATTGAAGAAAACGTTAGACCTTTTTCTTCGTTCTACTGTCCACTTTTGCCAATGCACCAGTTCCACAGTACGATACAACCACCATCAGCTTTACAGCCGGTACAGTGTTCTTCAGTTTGAAAGCCTCATCTTTACTCTTAAAAGTAATCCTTTCATCTTGGAATGATGGTTCAATCAACCGTTTAAAGCCTACAAACAACAATTTGACTGCAACCGTACATCTTTAATATTCACTATGATGGTAATCAACCGGAAACCATTGTATCGCATTAAAACCACCAGACTATTGTAAAACGGCTTTTAAAATTCATTTCTGAACGTCGTTTCAAACCACGCCGAGTGGCATGCCAACTGAAATGACATCATTTGGTGTAAAGTGGCTTCTTTCTCGGTCTCAACCTTTTCATAAAACAAATGTTAGGCAGCCACGCAGGAATCTCCCCGAGCTCCGTAAAGTTCACACAGTCTTTCTAAGACAAACCCGCCCGGCCTTTGTTGCGTCTCTCCGCCTCAACGCATGAAGGCCGTGTGCAGTTTCTTTACGGATGGAATAAACTGTTACGTTGGGGCCATTTTAAGCGTATTTGTATTTTTTCCTTCACTAGGTGATGTTCAAAGCTAAAGCCAAGTATTCACCGGAGCTCACCAAATATAAGTAAGTCCTCGACTAAGTCGCAGTTTGTAGCTTTAACACTGGATACATTTGTGCTTGTAATCTGTCGCTTTTGGTCATCCTCTTGTTCCCTCTCCACAGGGTTCCCCTTCGGTTGTTCTTCCTGTGCATCAGTATATTTTTCCTGGTGGTGAATTTGACTTGTGCGCTCTTGGTTCAAGGAGCGTTGGAGAACTCTAAACCTCCGAGGTGAGCGCAAGTTCATTTTATGTGCATACTTTGTATACATTTTGGTGTCTTAAAGCATATCCCTGAAGTTGTGATCATTTATTTATCCAGTGATGGGGGTGTTAGGCACGCCGTCTTGGCTCGGGTCCTGATCAACGACAGCCTGTTTGTCTTGTGTGCCATATCTCTGGCTGTGTGCGTCTTCAAGATTGCCAAGATGTCATCTGCCAACGTTTACCTCGAGTCCAAGGTAGAAAGGAAAGAAATGGTCTTACAACTGTGATTGTTTTATTTAGAAAGTGGTTTTCCAGCATTCTGAGGTGATCTGACCACAAGTGGGAAAATTAGTTTGCCTAAGACCTTCAGATATCTTCGTATGACTATAAGATCCTGTTCACGCCTGACGCCAACATCCATCTCGTTTGATATGACTGACGGCACTGATTGAGAGCATTCGCACTCGGTACGTCTGAAGGCGTTTTGTAGTCTGATCTCGTTTAACTCGCTGTGAGCGTAACAGCGCTGTGTTTAAATTTGACAATACAGTAGTCCCTCGATTATCGCGAGGGTTACGTTCCACACACACGCCGCGATAGGTGAAAAACCGCAAAGTAGAAACAAGGGCTGAACGATTTTGGAAAATATTCTAATTGCAATATTTTTTTTTCTTGCCTCAATGTTGCGATTACAAAGGCATGAATAAGAGTTTCTGCATCGGTTAAAGAGATAAATGCTCTCATTTTGGCAATATTCTTAATTTGAAAATCAAAGGTTACCCCCAAATTTCTGGCTTCACGAGTGCAGTTAAAACCAAGAACAGAAAGGGACTGAACTATTAAATCCCTTTTGGCCTTGGGTCCAAACACCATCACCTCAGTTTTATTGCTGAGTGAAAGAAAATGATCAGACATCCAGGTTTTGATGTCTGTAAGACAGAGGGTAAGTTTGAGTGTAGAGAGGTCTGATGGGTTAATAACCAAATAAATTGGGGAATTGTCTGCATAAAAATGAAAAGAAACATTGAATTTATGAATAACCTGACCGAGTGGTAGCATATAAATGGAAAATAATAGTGGCCCAAGAACAGACCCTTGGGGGACACCACAGGTGAGAGAACAGTTTGGTCAGTGATCCCCGTCAGCTGGTACTTTGCTTACTAAGTCCAAGCACTAGCCTGACGCCATTGTGCAACCAGTTAAAACGCAGCATTGACTTCTCCCGCTCCTTGCTCTGCTTTGCTCCGCTCACTCGCAAGTCACGTGACCAGATCACGTGACCAGCCAAATCGCAGCCTTTGCGATTAGAAAATAGTTTTATCATATCGCGATATTATTGCAAATGCAATTCATTGTTCAGCCCTACTAGAAACGCTATATTGATTATATATTTTAAGGCTTTATAAACCCTTCCCACACTCTTGCAATGTTCTAAACTCTTAAACTTGCGTCATTTTAACAACACGTATATGTTCTGTACAGTACTCTGTTCCGGTTCAGTAGACCTAACCTGCAGAGACGAAGCCCGCCGCTCTGCCCACGTTGATGTGCGCGTGGATAATTGAGCTTCAGGATTATTTGCGACCTTCCTGCCAGTTCTGTGAGCTTCATAGATAGATCGTTACTTATGACTTTGCATTGCAGAACTTTCCCTCCCATTTCGGCAGAAAGCAGCAGCCGGAAGCACTGTTGGCTTCTGGGTACTGTAGTTCTTTTGACTTGCATTACAGTGTAGGCTTATTGAAAGAAAACTACAAAATGGTGGCGCCTGTCCGAAGTTTTTTCCCGTGAACGTTTTATCTCGTACTGTCCCAGTCACTCGAGTAATATTAAAGGTGACGATCGTAGGAAAAACCACGAAAGAGCGAGTTTGCGAAAGTCGAACCGCGACATAGCTAGGAACTACTGAATAATTCTACATGAAACTTATGTTGTTCTGTGATTGAAACAGAACATTATAGCTTGCAGTGACCACAGTGGGTCCAATCAGCTCTGAAGTTATTAAAATCCAGACAATATACTTTTGTTTAGAGAAGGGTTTTGATATAAAGTGCATTAAAAGTGCGTTCCGGACTATCTTTGAAGATATTTTCGATGCACACCGAGGTCGTTCACAACTGTATTTAACGTTAAATTCATTCTATTGGATCACCCAGAGTGGATGTTAGTGCCCGGCGTGAACTGTGAACACGTTTGATTCTGAGCGTGAATATGCTCGTCGTAATGCACTTTATTCAGTAAAAATTATGCGTTGTTTTAACCTTTGTTGCTGTTGGTCACTAGTGCGGGGGTCTGCAACCTGCGATTCTTTGGTCCTTGACGCTTTGACCAAACATCATGCAACATGTAAACTCGTTGGGTTTTATACCCTCACTAAAGACAAATAAGTTTAGCAGTTTTTCTGCAAATGTTTAAATAATTGGGGCTGAGATGGTGTAGGGGCAGGGCAGCCGACTCGGGACCCAAAGGTCCTGGGTTCGATCCCCGGTCATTGCACATCTCGTGGTGCCTCAGCAGGACACCCCATCCCCAGTTGCTCCCCGGGCACCTCCAAAGGCCGCCCACCGCTCCGCCTGGTGGTGGATGGGTTAAATGCAGAGAGCCAATTTCACCATTGTATAGAAACATACAATGATGACAATACATAACATTATTATTATTATCTTAAAATGACTTAATCAAGGAGAAAATAATGTTGATTAGCTTTAGCTACTTCATTTATCCAACTTCCAGCCTTACAGTAGTGTCTTTCTCTCAAATCCACCTGGAATTTTTGGAAGAACTTTAGGACAATTGCCTAGAAGAAATATGGTGACTAATTAATTAACTAATTAATAGATAGATAGATCTAATTAAAGTTAAAGTATTGGTAAATTTAAAAAAAATTAAGTTTAAAATTTATTAAGTCACAATTACTTATCCAACACAATGGTCTAATATTTAGACACACAAATTTTATGCTTTATTACTTTAAAGTGGGATACATAATTATTTTTTTTATTATTATTTTCACTGGCTGGGAAAAATAATTCATACAAATTTGAAGTGGCCCATGAGCCACCAGTTGATAATGACCATTGTAGCAAGTTGTTTAGTAAATGAAGGGTAGAAATGGCTCTTCTGATTTAAAAGGTTGCAGACCCCTGCACTAGTGGGCACTAATAGTTATGTTATAGGTATATTTACATGGTGATGGTAATTCTGGTTGATTACCAGATGTTATTTTTTAACTACACCTTGCATAAATGGCTTATTCTGACCAGAAAGACGAGCTAACTGCTAGCCCGAGTGGAGCCAAGGCCAAAGTTGGAATTCCACTATATAAGTTTTGCATTATCCCTCATTTCTGTAATGCTTGTGGACCCACATCTAACATTAACAGGTCAGTAGTTGGTTTATACTCAACATTGTTGTGACACAATGGATTTCCCTCCAGGGAACATCAGTGTGCCAAGCGACCGTCATAGGAGCCGTGGTGATTCTCCTCTACACTTCCAGAGCCTGCTACAACCTCGTGGTGGTCTCCCTGTCGCCGCAGGACAAACCCAGTCCCTTCAGTTACGGCTGGTACAGCGTCTCTGATCAGGTGCTGTTCCAAGTAGCTCTGGTTCTAGATCGGAACCGAGCACTCGTAGTCAGAAATCCAGAGGGGGAGTGTGTATGCAGCCTTTCTTAGGAGATTTAGAAGAGCAGTGCTTAGCAGGGTAAAGGGCTTTGTTTGGCTATAAATAACATATGTCTGTATGTCAGCCTTTGTGCATCCTGACCCATATCAGGACGGGCTCAGACAGCACATTCTTAAAGTATTCTATTTTTTGTGTGTGTGTGTGATTATTTGATATTTTACCCATGAACTGATATTTACATGATCAGAAATTATATATTTTTGTCTTGTATTAGTTTTCAGACGATGATATGCTGAACTAAGCTTTAGCCATGAGTCGCATAAGATTTATTTTAAAGCTTTTTACAAAAATATAGATTTATTTTTTGTAGGACCAATATACAGTATTATCAAAATGGATAGCAAAGGAAAGATCTAGGTATCTGTTCCAAATAATGTAAAGTCATTGTGCAATTAAATCTGCATTCTGTTTATTGGCCAGCAGGGGGCGACACCGGTGACTGCATACAAACGTTGTTGCTTGTTCGGCACCAGTCGGTTAGCAGAACATTCCATGGACACGTTTTAATGAAACTCACAGAAAGTTATAATCATTGGACGTTTTGATTACCTTTTGGAGTTAACCAAATTCAAGATGGCCGCCACACCTTTTCAGAGTTTGCGAACACAAAAATGCTCGTAGCTTAGTCAGTTTGTCGGATACTGAGCTGAATGTTGGTGTAGTAGCAGCTGATAGTCCCAACACATTATTCAGAGAGCAGTGTTTCCCCTAGATCTGTTCCCCTTGGCGGGCGCTCGTGATATTTGTGTTTCATCGGGGGGGGGGAATGGGACGGAGTCATGTCAGTGTTGCCCGCCTGCTAGCTTAGTGCTATGTTGCTGCCGGCTTTTATTGACAACGATGAGAGGGGGAGTCACGATTGTCTTGCCCGCTAGCTTAGCGCTACGTTACTGCTGGTAATTGTTGACGGGGGGAGCAGTACGTCAGTAGCATTTTTGCTAGCACGTTTGCGCTACATCAATATCAACGGTTATCGATGGGGGAGGGGTGGAGTTGGGTAGGCAGGGCACTCAGTTCTGTTGATGGGGCGGGGCACCCCGCTTGTACGTATATTGGTTGGGGAAACACTGGAGCGCTAACGTAAAATATGGCATAAAATATTCACTCCTTCAAGAAATACCGTTTTAATTCTTTCTCAAACTAGTGATCTCTGAATGTCTTTTTTTTTTTTTTTTACAATAGTTTTATAATCTCAGTTGTCCTTTTTTAAGTATCTGCTGGCCATTAAATAGGAAATTAAAAGTGTTCCACGTTGGCTTTGCTTTTTAGACCTGGAGGCATTGTAGTCTGTTCAAAAGTCCCATAAGCACAAGAGTTATCGTCTGCCTGTTTAATTCTTGGCATATTCAAATATGTCAAACTTCCAAATATTTTATGAGCATGCATCAGGATATTTTATGGATATTTTATGAAGCCTTCATTGTGAGACAGTCATGTTGTATTGTCATAACTGGATTCTCAGGCATTAACAAAGCAAAACTGCCAGAGGACGAGGGTCTTTCTGTTCAGTTGTTCAGAACCTTGACGTTTCATAAATTGAAGCAATATCTAAATAAGTGCTTAATAAAGTGTCTCTGTGTGGGTTATAGGCTGATGTATTTAACGTCAGCGGCGAGGCCTACATTGTTTTTGGGGTTATTCTGTTCTTCTGGGAGCTGCTGCCCACCAGCTTAGTGGTGGTTTTCTTCCGAGTCCAGAGACCCCATCAAAACCTGGTAAGCCAACGAGCTATGGGTCGGAGCCTGCAGACTTTTTCAGCATCAAGAATCTTTAGACTGAGTGTGAATACTTCTGTGTCCTTTAGCCTCCAGGGGGCATGATCAACAGCCACAGTTTCAGCTCCAGAGCTTACTTCTTTGACAACCCGCGGCGGTACGATAGCGACGATGACCTGTCCAGAAGCATCAGTAGTAGAGCTGATCGGACAAGGTGGGTTCCTACATAGTTTTTTTTTACTTCTTGAATATTCTCTGGTTAATGGTGTGCCCCTTGCCATTAGTCGTCTAACACCTCTTCTCATGTCCCTCATGCTTTCAGTCTTCTCTCCACCACACCCCAGCAGGCAACATCTAGTTGGTATGGTTCCATCCAGCGTAACGGGACTTTAGCGGCGGGGGTGGCAACCGCCCCGCAGGCGCCACCTTCCACAGTGCCACCTTCCACAGCGCCCCTACTTTTTGCCCACGGAAGCGTCCAGAATCATCATCACCATCACCACAACTACTACTCAACCCCGCAAAACAACAACCAACATCACCACAGTAACTACCACTCCACGCCACAGACTTATTACTGTGGATCACAGACGTATTTCTGCACCCCTCAAAATTAGGAAGGCATGACGGTAAATGGACTTCTACTGTTTTGGTCACAACTTTGTTGATCCAGCTACATCAAAACGTGATCTTGTAAACTCACCCTACACAACTGGTTCAAACATTTCTCAGCGTGGTGGCGGAGTAATCGGAACAGAAAGTTGGTGCGCCGGGACTACTATTTTTTTGAGGACGTGAGCGTCTTTGAGAGTGACGTGTAACCACAAATGGCTGGAAAGCCTCGTGTCTGACCTGATTTTTCAGTTTAATAATTTGGTCGGACTATCGTGTGTGATGCTGGAATCGACAAAGACCAGATAATCATAATGCCATATTGCTTGAAATGTAAAAACTCTGCGTAAACGGAGGTTGTGTAGCAGTTTTTAGCTAATTAGGCTAACCAGGCTAAATCTGAAATTGTCGGTCAACAGTTGGACTTGGAGGTACGTTACTCTTACAAGATTTGTCAAATTGTTTGAGTTTTGTGACTCTTTAATGAAAACATGAACGATAAAGACCTTATAAAAACTCTAATGGGGTCATTTAGCCTAGCTTGTATGCTGACTAATTAGCTGGCTAATTAGTTTCAGATGACAGGAACTAGCCAGTGCTAATTTGCCAATCATAACCTCGCTAACTTTTTTAAAGCAAGGATTATTACTTTTGTTAATATGGTGTTGAAAAGACAAAAAAATAAGTTCAAAATGTCTTTAGCAAGCACTTGCTCTGTCCTACTTGCATTAATAATAACAGGAATTAGCTAATGCTAATTAGCCATTGGCTGCAGGGGCAATGAGGGCTGTTAGCGGCAGTAGCAAGCAGTTAGCTTAAAGTATAAAATAAAATAACCACAAACGATTGCAACATTTTAACAAAAACTTAAACGTAAAGTTTTATTGTCATGTTAATCTGGGGTTGATAATACAGTGCCACACAAAAATGTTAGCAAGCACTTGCTCTGTCCTACTAATAACAGGAATGAGCTAATGCTAATTAGCCATTGACTGCTGGGACAGAGAGGGCCGTTAAAAAATGGCCAAATTTCAACAAAATCTTAAACCTAAAGGAAAGCTTCTACTGTCATGTTAATCTGGGGTTGATGATACGGTGCCACGCAACAAATTAATAAGTAAAAATGTTGTTAGCAAGCGCTGTTAGCTCTGTTCTTGCATGGCTAACAATTAGCTACTGCTGTTCTGCTAACAGCTACTGAGGCAAGGAGTGCAGTTAGCTTCAGGAAAAAATAAAAATCTCAGAAAATCAACAGAATTATAACGAAGTGAAACCTCACAGACATGCTATCGTTTTGTGAAAAGCACGGTCTTACAATTATATTTGCTCATGTAGAGTTGATAATCATCTGCGTAACGAAAACGGCGTGTGTGAAAACGCTCACTTTTTGTTTTTACATGGTTAAAATGTATTTTTAACATACAGTATGCTGTTCTGTCCAGGTTTTCTGTTCCCATGACAAGTCTAGATAGTCTACGTGAAGTAGCCCGCAAATTTCTATAAAACTTATAATCTCGTTTCCACGTCTGACGGACTCAAACCAATAAGCTCGCATGACAGACTTCATTATCACCAAACGTAAATCGAGGCTTTCTTGTTCAGAATGAACCGGTGAAAAACAAGATTTTATTGAATGTAAATTGTTTATCCAATAGCAACTGACCTGTAATCAACTTTGCTTTGTAGCTCAGCTTTTTGACTATTTCGTTTCAGATTGAAAAAGTCTATTTGAAGCTTATTTGTGACCAAAAAGTCTACATATAGTCTGAATTTTTGTGAGCCACGAGGCAGAAATTTGCACTTAAATGAAGATCGTCTTCAGAGAGAAAGGCTTTGGAGCCTGAATGTAGGGGTTTCTTCTCGTATTTTGTATTAGTCAGTCCTTGCGAGGACAAAAACATCAATGTGCCATCACTTTTGTGTCATATCTAATAGTTGCATTCCTCAAAGAAAGTATTTTTGCACAAGATTGTCTGATGATCCGTCTTTATTAGAGTCTCAACGCCAATCGGTTTCTAATGTCTGTGTGCTTTGTGACGTTTTGACTGACGGTGTGGTATGTTTGTGTACCGGTATTCTTCAGTATTTGTTTTGAAGTGTGATATTTTTACCTACGTTTTACTTTACATATATTTTTTTATTAACAGATTTTATATTTTTCTCACTTGTTTCGTCCTTTATGATAATTTCTCAAATTTTCAGCATTTCATGACAAACTGGAGCTTGTCGACGGTACCGTAAAGGAGCTTATTTGCTTTTCATATTCCTGTTTTTAACCCAAAATCAGTGCACCTGTGGTAAATAATTTTAAAAGTGGTGTTCGTGTGTGCTTTGAGCACTTCTGTAGTTCAGCTGTCACAGAACTCAAACCTGTAAATGCCCATGGAAACTTCACACAAACTAAAAACCAAAATTGATGCGTTTGTTTCTTAGAACAATTTTGCCAGAAAATTATTAAGCTGCTGATTCAGATTTTTTTTTGAAGAGAAGTTTTGTGGAAAGGTTTGTGAGCAGATGATATCTTACCTGTTGTAGATAGCTCTTTGAATTCAAACAGGTTTTCTACCCGGGTAACTAATGGTTTATGGTTAACGGTTCAGACTGAAGGCTCAAACAAGCTAATGTGTCCGACGAGCTACGATTTTGGTTCGAGTCATCAGATAACGGCTCAGACTAAAACCTTGAATAAGCTAACAGCTCTGACTAGCCATTAGCTAACTACTAACGGCTCTGACTAAAACATTGAATGAGAGAACGGCTCTGACTAGCTATGATTTGTCTTTCTAGTTATTAGCTACTGGTTCAGAGTAAAAGCTTGAATAAGCTAACAGGTCTGACCAGCCGTTGGCTAACTGCTAACCTTAGCTAAACGCCCTAGACTAAATACTAAAAGTTCAAACAAGCTAAAGGTTCTGTTTAGCCATTAGCTAACAGCTAATCTTAGCTAAATGC